TCCTTACCAACCTCATCGTCACTTTCGTGCCACTCGCGAAACAATGGCGAGCGATCCAGAAGGTCAACTAAGTGAATAGTCAGATATTCCAGCAAATAGTGAGGTCAGTGAAGTCGTTATAAACTGCGTAGTGTCGAAAGATAATCTATGAAGAAGGTGTGGTCTCAAAATTACTACTCGTCCTTCTTGTTGTGCATGCAGGAATATAGAATGTACTAGTATCAGGGGCACCCAACGAGAATATAGTTCAAAACCACTTAAACATAACATTGTTGAACGTATTTTAACATTTAAACGGTAGATGTAGACATATTTTTATCCCCTGAAATTTTTTTATCGACTTAATTGTGTTCCAGAATTTTCTTTGATCTGCGTATTTCTCCTTACAAAGTGTTTTGAAGTGGTCCTGTTCAGCTTTTCTTCTCATACTGACAACTTTGTTTCTTAAGACACGATATTTTTCCCACTCGAGAAGATTCCTGGATCTGTAATATCGCTTTTTCTGTTTATCTCGTTCCCGCATTGTCTTCCGAATTTCATCTGTTATAAATACTCCAGCCGGTGACGGGCGTTTCTTGACTGTTATCTTGGGCGCATGAGCATCCAGAACTTGATCGTAGAGTTGATGCCAACACCAATATACATCGTCAGGATCATCAAACAGGTATGAGACAGAGAAAGGCACGTCGTGTCGGTTTGAATGCAACGCGAGCATTTCTCTGAGTTTCCCAGCGCCAACATCATCTAACTGACTTAAACTCGAACAATAAAAGAATTATAGAGTTACTCCCATGGTCGAATCGCTTCGAACAACGCAAATAGCCTTCTTCAGGTTCGCAACGCCTTGTGGGTTTTTCAGGGGGAGCGCAGACAAGGTACAAAAAGTATCCGTGCAAGGCTCCTTGCAAGAGAAACTCATATGAAACCATTTGTGAGAACATCGTTTCTCGGCATCAGACCCTCGTGTCTTCCCTCCCCCGGGGGACCACTTTTTGACACCGACGACCGAAAGCCCATTTTATGACTGGGCCGCACAGGCAGCCCAGTAAAAAGTGAAATGTCTTGTGAGAGGAGGATGTCAGTTTGGTGGATGGAATCAAGTGACGAGGACAAATATGGGGTCCCCATAGTGAGCCCTATAAATTTCTGTTGCACATTTTGAAGAAAAACTCAACAGCGGAAAAACTGCAATGGCTCAATGTCTCAATGGCTTCAGACATTCCCTGAAGGTTTTGATTTTAGGTTTCGATGGCGTGATAGTGAAAACCATGCACGAATTCACCTCCCAGCCGAGCCGAAGCCGAAACAAAAAATCTTTAAGTTGATTATAAATTGTCGAATCCAAAAACATTGAAATTTTATTACTGAAGATCGTCAAACGTTTGGCGTCCTTCGCTTGGTTGACATCAAGTTTGAATTTATTGGATGGCCTGAGTTACCGTGTGACTTTGTGCGCATTGACATGCATTGCTTATTTAATGTACATTAACCTCGCCGCTTCGCGCTTCCGAAAATTTCCACCACTATTCATCCACTTTAGTGAAAATTCGCTTAGTATCGTGTATTATTAACATTTAACGGAATTACCCAGAAGTCAAAACGACTGTAACATTGCTGTTTGCATAATTAAGCAAAAGGGTTAAGAACAGGAGAGAAATAAGTACTTCTTGCGTGTCCTTAGTGTTGCTAACAGTGCTTCTAAGACTAAGCAATGTAGGAGGGATAAGATTTCCCTTTACCGTAAAATTCCGAAAGTAAGCCCCGGGCTTATATTTTTCAAAGGCCCTTTTTGAGGGGCTTATTTTTGGAGGGGCTTATATTCGGAGGGGCTTATGTACAGAGGGAAATTTGCGTTTCAGAATCGATTGGGCCAGCTTGTAGTGGGAAGGAAATTACCATTTTTGCTTTGTTTTACTCTGTATTCGAGGGCAAATTCCAAGTACAAGTCTCCCCCGGGGGCTTATATTCGGAGCGGCGATTTAACGGAGGGTTTTTTGCGTTACGATTTTGGGGGGCTTATATTTGAAGGGACTTATACGTGGAGGGGCTTTTTTTCGGAACTTTACGGTACTTTATCAAGTGGTTCATCCCTGGTTAAGGCTCGTACTTGTGCTAGAGACCCCGTGCAACAGCATTTCTTCAGTGTCCCATACGGTATCTCGACTGAAGCACACGCATGGCATCTAGGAAAGGAACATACCAATTTAATGAACTCCGGCACACCAACCATAACACATTTTGGTGAACATTCTACGCGGCTGTATGACTGTAAAAGTTAAATTATGGATAGTTTTTACAAACTGGCGACCGAAAATGATTTTTTTTCTGTTTATCTCACACATATTAACTGTGATTTGTTTTCCTTCAGGCATTTGAACGACAACGAGCTCAAGACGCTCCCGTCAGGAATATTTTCAAATCTCTCTTCCTTGGAGGTTTTGTAAGTAAACGACGCATCAGTCTTCTCTTATAGATTCATATGACTCTTCTAATAGGATCTAAAGACCTCTCGTGGTACTGGTCCGAGGGGGGCGGGGGGGGGGTGTCTTGAGTTAATGTTTACTAGGTATGTGCCGCTGGCCTCTCAGAGCCCCTACTCCATTATAGTCTATTTTTGGCCAATTATAGAGCCCATCTTAGTTACTTTTTGGAAATGTAATTTTCGCGATTCCAACTTCACTTTCACTTTCTATTTATCCACCTACATTCAAGCGGCGGAATGTAATGCGGTCAATGCGAGCTTACTGTTAAATTTAATGAACAATAACTTTCTGATCGTGATTTTTTTAACCGAGAATCTTCCCATTTAGAATCCCTGTTACCCCCAACATCCTAGTAACTCTATTGAAAATGCGACCCCATCCAGCGGAAAATCCCCTTTAGCCTCTTGTAAGGGAGTACCCCCCCCCCCCCGGGGGGGGGGGTACTGACGCGCTAATGAACAAGAGTGGATTCATTACCCTTATGATGTCGCTATTTGCTTTCGCTTTTTGCTAACGTTTTAAACAGATTTGGCTAATTCGAGGTAGGTCTTATCAACCGAGCCGAATGCCAAGGCTAATAACACTCACCGAGACCTTAGCTATACCGGATATCAGAAAAACCGAATCGAATAATTGTTGTATTTTACATTGTTCTAAAGAAAACAATCGACAAACACACCGTCCTGATCGTCGCACGGACCACAGGTTGACATTCCTCGTGGAAATGATACATTGCGCGGAAACCTGCAGATTAGTCAGTTTAAATATCTTTTTTTGCAGATAACTAACAAATCTCACGGTAGGTTGCGCTGATTTCAAAAATGAACTGAAGGCTTTTATAGAATGAGAAGAAAGACAGTGAACGCAATGCTGTCAATAACGTCCGTGCATGAGTATTTTGTTGTTGTTGTTGTTTTCTTATGAAACTGTAAAATGTGCTAGGGTTTCACGTACGGAAAGAAAGCGAGCCGAACAGTAAAACTCAACACAAACTTTAATTCCGACCAAACACATGAGTAGTTATAGAAATGGGTATCCTGGGCACATCTTCGAAGCACCAGAATTGCATTAAATTAACTAATAATAAAATCCCAGAATATGCAAGGGAGTATAAAAGAGAATATCAATTTATTAGAGGATTAAATAAGGAATTTAAATATCTGATAAATAAACTGGATGATTTGAATAATGGATTGTTTGAGAGTAACATTTCTAATAGATTATGTAATTTAATTAAAAGATTTTTGAGAGGACAAGAAAAAGGTAAACTTAAGGATATTAGTAATCTTATGTTACAAAGAGATGATTTAAATAATTTAATCTTTATTAATGAACAGTTTGGATATTATAAATTACGTTATGATGCTTTTTGTGATGATAGTGATGATGATAATGATTATTATAGTGATGATGATAGTGATGATGATGGTAATGGTGAGTATTTAGTTGATGGTAAACCTTATCCTGGTTTTTATGAATTTTATGATATTTTTAAATTATTTTTTAATCAAATAAAATAATATTTAATCAAATAAAATATTATTTTTTAATCAAATAAAATATTATTTTTTAATCAAATAAAATATTATTTTTTAATCAAATAAAATATGAAAGTTGCGATAGTGATTGAATACGATAGCGATAGAGAGGAATTAGATCTTTCATACACTGACAGTGATCTTGAAGATTTTTGTAATCATTTGAATAGTTTTTTCTCCTAAACTTATAACATTTTTGTTACAAGTTTTAAAAATGATTTAAAAGAAAAAAATTAAATAAAACAAATGGAAGATATTAAGAAAGTTTATTCAATACATTTTCCTGAAAAACAAGTTTATGTTGGAAGCACTGTTTATTCATTTGATGAAAAATTAGAACTAATTAAAAACGATAAAGATCATCCATTATATGTAATGTTACAAAAATATCCAAATTCAGAAATTCGAGAAGAAGGTTCTAGTAAAAAAGAGGTAGTTGAGAAATATTCTAAAGATTGTTATAAAATTCTAGATTTTGATTTAAAACTAACCCCCAAATTTAATTTATTCCAATCATTATATAAATGGATAGTTTATTAAAAGAATTTGAAGATATGGGATTTAAAGTTGAGGTTGGTTGTAAAGAGAAAAGAAGGAAGAAAACAATAATTGATTCTATAAGAAAATTAAAGGATGAAAATAAGATTATTTATGCTAAAAAGTTGTATAGATATTACAGTACTATTAATAGTTTAGGTTATATTTTAAATCCAAATCAAATTCCTGTTGATGAGGATAAATATGAAATACATTATCTTTGTAGTTATTTAGATGGTATTGTTAATACTGCAAAAATGAGTATTGCTGGTGTTATTAAAGCTCTTGGAAATGATGAGCCATTAGATCCTTTTTTAAAATATCTTATGTTTACTCACATGTATACTCCAGAGCAAGTAAAAGAAATAGGACATGAGGAAATATATAGAAGGGAACAAAAGTTTGAAAAAGAATTAGGATTAGTATAATCAAATAATAAAAAATGGGATCAAGATCGAGAGAAACTACTCCTACAAAAGAGGATTTGGATTTTATAGTTGATGATGGTTACAAACATGATGAGGATCCAGATTATGTTCCAAACGAAAAATATGTTGTTACTGGATCAGAGTTCAAAAAATTAACCAGAAATGCTAAAAAGCTTGGTGCTGAATCACTTGATTATTCAACCAGAAAAAATAACAAATATATGGCCACACTTCCAGGTGGGAAAAAAGTTCATTTTGGATCACCAAAATATCCAGACTACACTATTCACAAAGATAAAGAGCGAAGAGATAAATATCTTTCTCGTGCTACAAAGATTAAAAACAAACAGGGAGAATTAACTTATACTAATCCAGAATCGAGCAACTTCTGGTCAGTACATTTACTTTGGCCAAAAAATAAAATTGATTTATGATTTAAAGATAATAAAATAATTTAATAAAATGAGTTATTCAAATGGTAATGTTGATTTAACAATGAGTAATATGAGAATTAATAATAAAGATGTTAATGAAGATTATAAAAAATATTTAGAAGAAGGATTAGAAAGAATTGGTTTTTATTTAAGTAATATGAGAAATAATAATAAAGATGATAAACTTAGTATAAATTTTTTAGAAGAACGATTAGAAAAAATTGGTTGTTATTTAATAGGTTTAATATCTGAATTGAGAAAAATAAAATAAAATTGATTTTTTGATGTTATTGATAATGTAACAACTTTATCTCAGCAACATTTAGAGAATGAATATGGACCAGATCTAGCATCAAGTTTGCCTTCACCATTTTATTACAAACAAATAGAATATACAGATAAGAAAGGAAAAAAGAGACCAAAAGTTGATGAATCATCAGCGCCAGTTTTATACGCAAAACTTATTTACTCAGAAAAATCAAGGAAAATTTTATCTTTGTTTAAGGGAAAGGGAGGTCGCGATTTAAATCCTTTTAAATATATTAATCAGTACTCTAATGTTAAATTAGCATTGATAATTGAAGGAATATTTATAAGTAAAACTGTAACATCATTACAAATAAAAGTACACGAGTGCTATGTTAAACAATTAGAACCTAGAAAGAGTTTACTTACAATTGACGAAAAAAGTAGTGAAAGTGACAGTGACAGTGACAGTGATAGTGATAGTAAAGGTGAAGAGATAACTGATCAAGTAGTTGATGACTTACTTTTATCTGATGAAGAAGAAACTAAGTAAATAACTATTTTTAATACAAATTTTGTATTAAAAATCAACCAAATCCTTCAAACTTACCCATGAGTTAAATTTATCAGGATATCCACTCCATTTTACTAATGCCATTTTTTTCTTATTATCCCTCCTAATAATCTTTTCTATTCTAAATGTTTGTTGTTTTGCTTTCTGTAATTCTTGTTCGTAAAAAGAACCTTTAATCTCTTCTCCCATCAAATCAATAATAGAATATGTAATAGGTTTTGTTGGTAAAACTTTATCAATAACAAATATTTCCTCTGTCCAGTTTGGTCTGTAACCTTTATCAAATACCTTTCTTTTATACTTAGAAATTATAACATGATCACCAACCACAAATTTTGATTTACCAGGTTTTAAGTAAATCAAATCACCATACAAATTAGACCGAACTTTACTTTTATTTTTCTTTTTACTTGCTTCAACAGGAGTCATTTTTATACTAGAATGTCTCGAATTATTGTAATCATTAACTAGTTTATTTAACTTATCCCAGTAAACAGTGTTGTTATTAACTGTAAACATTTTCCACATTCTGTTTTTCATTGTTTTATTCCATCTCTCAACAACACTAGATTTTTCTTCATTTTCAGTGTGATACAACCTGATTCCTTTACTTTTAAGAAAATCTTTGAAATGTTTACTTATAAACTCAGAACCTTTATCAGTCCATAACATTTGAGGTTTACGTTTACTTTTGAATATGTCATCGAATGCTTTACTAACAGTTTCAGTTTTTTTTATCTTTTAATCCCCTAATCCAACCATACTTGCTAAACACATCAATAACCATCAGAAGATATTTAATTCCTTTATTCCACTTACTAAACTTTTGCATTTCAACTAAATCAGCAGCCCAGATTTCATCAATCCCATTTGAGATTACTGATCTCTTTTGAAAGTTTCGTGTGATTGGTTTGTGAAGTTCGTCGGCTAATTGTTGAGACCAATCACTACTCAACGCCGCTTTACGTTTTTTGTTCCCATTCCAAGTTTTTGTTTAGTATTAATTATTGTTCTAGCCAACCAATGACCCCATTGTCTTTCTTTCCAAGGAATTGCATCTAACGATTTCACCATCTTTTTATCAGCTTTATTTTTACACTTTCGATCATCACCACAAACACTATAATCAACATCATGCTGCATAGCCACAGCATCAGTTGGCCCAGTTGGTTGATCGTAAATTTCTAATATTTCACCAGTTTCCGGATCATATCTTACTTGATTTTCGAGATCATTATAAGGGCCAGTGTATTTATGTCCAGGTAAGGTCCACCCACCTTTTGGTTTTGGTAATTTACCAATCTGTTTGTGAATATCTATTCCTCTCCCATCTAATTCTGGTCTATCAGTTTTATATTTATTTTTAGGTCTAACTTTTGTTGATAACTGATCCATAGCTGATCCAACAGAATCTTGAATAAATGGAGTTAGTTTATTAATCCCATAATTTACTGCTTTCTTCTGAAGATTTTTATTTCTCATTAACTCACTTTCTCCATATCGTCCCATTTCAACTGCTTTCTTACCCATCCAAGGTAAACCGTAATGAACAAAACCATCAACTGCTGTACCAACTACTGTGTCAAAAAGACCTGAACCATATATTTTTTTAACTTCCGCTACAGATTTGTATATTTTGTTTGTTCCTAATCCTCCACTATGAAAAAAATCTCTTACATGAGCATAACCAATTTGTTTACCATTTCTTTTGACAATCATTATAGGATTTCCTTCTTTGAAATAAAATTTATTACCATTATAACGAAACACAGTTGTATCTCCTGTCCAGAAATTGGAAGTAAATATTCCATCTTCTGAATTAACAACACCTTGTGCTATATCACCAGACCAATAATCTTTAAACATTGGTTTTGTTTGAGGAAACAGGGTTTCTGAAATTGTTTGACCCACATTTATTCCTGTTTTGATTGGGCCAACAGCATCACCAACACCTTTGCCCGCCATCACTGACGGGCTTATTAGTTTTTTGACTTCTTTTTTGTTTTTCTCTTTTTACCACTTCCAGTTTGAGAAGCTGATCCAGTTTTCACATATCTAACTTTTTTATTTCCACAAACTGCACATCTACAAAAGAATTGAGTTCGCCCTCTTTTATCAGTTTGGTAACCACTTGGCTCTGTGCAAGGAGTTACTCTTTTATCTACAATGCAATATGATTCTTTCATTTAATATAATGTTTAGATAAAATATGTCTACTAGATCTAATTTTGTTAAAAGTGAACTTCAAAAAATATACAACAGTCTTAACATGAGTTATGAAAATGCTGATCATTCTAGATTGGAAAATAATACTAAATTTATAAAAGTAATTGATTTGTTAATTGAAATAAGTGAGAAATCAAATACTTTAAGTAATATTATAAAAGGAAATTATCTGTTTATATAGTAAATGGAAGCCAAATTCTTTTCTGAGATAGAGAAAAAAATGGATGTTAAAACAATTAAGGATTTAGAGAAAGAATTAAGAACAAAAATAAATAATGAGATGGAGACTCTTAGAAAGAAAAATGATAATCTTAATAGAGTGTTAATGGCTGGTGAATGTGAGACGTGGAAGAAAATCAGAAATGAGGAATATTCTTGGTTGCAGTTAAATAGTGATAAAAAGAAAAAACTTTATCGACTTATTGACATTTACTCAAACTTAGATGATATAGTTGATAGTGTTAAAGATTTAAATACAAAAGTTGAAAAGGTTAAAAAGCTCAAGGAAACACCAGTGGATACAGAATAAATATAAATTTTATATTTATTCTTAAGAAAAATATTCTTTTATAAAATCACTGTTGTCATTATCAAAATGTGGGTTATGAATTACATCTAGAATACTAGTTCCACGTTGTCGCTCGTATAGATAATATAAACACCAATAACCACAGAGAACAGTATTGCGATTTTGTATTTCATCCATTGAGTAAACTATACGTTTTCCAGAAGTCTGAAAATACACCAGTGCTTCATTTGGCATTATCAGTCCAAATGGATCGAAGTACTCAACTAAATTGTCTATATTTCTATAACAAACCCAGTGTGTTCCAGGGCCAGTCATATCATCTAGATTAATTATTCCACATTCTTTTCTTATATTTTTTGGTAGTCCATCTCTACTGTAAATACCTCTGAAATGTTTAATACCAAGTTTCTTTACCCAATCCATAAGGTCAAAGTTGGATAGAGGTTTAATTACAAAATTGTTCCTAATATTGGAATTGAGTTCAATGGGCTGTTTTTTCCTAGAAGTAGTCCTGAACCTTTGGACTTGGACTTTTTTTTTTAACTCCCATTCCAATTGGATTTTCCCATGTACCAATAAAGGGTGGTGAGCGATAAGGATAACCCTCACCATGTGTGGATGGAGGAGGATGAGGAACGTAAACATTTGCTGTATTAGACGATCCACGTCTATCAACCTGAAGTCCAGAACCAAACATCTTAGATACCAGACTAATTGTCATTGGAATTCCAATAGAAGCAAGAGTTCCAAATAATCCTCCTTCTATCTGTTTACGAGTTGGTTTAATAACCAATCGCCCTCCTGTTTGATAAGCTTTGTTAATTTGATTTATTTGTGATTTGGTAAATTCTCTTACAATAGGTGGCAGCATTGGGAAAAACTCTGGGGGAATTGTAATTCCTTTTCCAAATATTTTATTTATTCCAAGTTCTCCAAGTGCAGTAGCAGCACCAGTTGCTAATGCTGGAACAGCTTTTGAAATTCCTTTTATTGCGTAAGGTAGTACTCGCGCTCCAAGAGAAGCAAGTGATGAAAATAAGTTTCCACCATGTTTTACAGAACGTCTAATTTGTGTTTTACTTATCTTTATATCTGATCCTATGCCATTTGCAACAGATTTTTTTATTTTATTAATTTGTCTGCTGGTTAGCATTAACTCATCAGAACCTTTGAGATGTGAATGTTTTAACCGAAGAGTTAGTGGTGATTTATTTAATATTGCAGAAGCCAATTTTGACTTTTGTCCATCTGTAAGTTTTACTCCGTATTCAATATAAGTTGTCATTTTTTTATTATAATAATTATATTAAATTTGCTTTAGGAAGTTCAATTACATCCCATATACTTTTCTTCTTAGGTTTAGGTTTATTATGTTTTTTTAGTGTATTTTTAATAAAATTATCATAATTAATTTTATCTTGTAACTTTAAATTCTTTAATTTTTTTGCTTTCTTAGCATTTTCTGTTTCTAATATCTCAAGTCGATCTTTATCTTGTTGTCTTAACAAAGAACGATTTAATCTAGTAACATATTTTAAAGTTTTTTTAAACTGAGTTTTACTAAATTTTAAATCAACTTTTTTCTTAAGCTTTTTTGCAACTTCTACTTTTTTAATTTGGGAACTTGTAAGAAAAACTTTAAAAGGTTCTTTATTAGATGTAAAGTCTAAAGTTATAATAATGTTTTTTCCAAAATTTTTTATTTGTGATGGAGTTAATTTTATAACATATTCAAAGTATTTATTTTCTTTTAAAAAAGGATATTTTTCTAAAGTTGCTGGTGGATAAATATCAAAAGGATTAACCATTTTATATTATTTTTAGATTAAGCTCTAAGCAATAGTTTTCCTCCTTGTTGTTCTATTTCTGCCACTCGCTCGTGAAGTACAATAGCGTAAATATTATAATCAGCGTTTGGATTAGCGGATAGTTCGTAATGAAAAGCTAGTTTCGTAACTCCATCTTTTATATCCATTTTTTGTTTTGTAAGATCAAAATAAACAAAAGGAAACAGAGATTCAAAATTTGTTCTATTGAGAAGTGTTCCACCTTGAAAGTCTTTGTTTGCGTAAACATAACCCATAACTTATCTAAACACTCTTGCCGGATCTGTAGCTGGTTTAAAGTGAATATGAGGATATTCATTTCCATTTCCAACCTCAAGATAACAGCGAGATACATTAGCATTGTTTGGTAAATTAAAAGTGTTGTATAAAAATGGATT